GTCAAAACACCTGTGTGGTATCGTTTTTTTATCTCGTGGGTGTTACAACCTCGCACTATGTCAGATAAAAAATTAGTGATCCTCGGCGCCGGCTTTGCCGGACTTCAATTGGCCAGAAGACTTCAGAAAAACGATATTGAGATCACGTTAATCGACCAGTATAATTTCCACCAGTTCCAACCCTTATTCTACCAGGTAGCCACGGCCCGTCTCGAACCCTCTAGTATTTCCTTCCCTTTACGAAAGGTTTTTCAACGCCGGAAGAATGTACACGTGCGTATTACCCGGGTGACCCATATAGACATCCAGGCACAGCAGGTACACACCAATGATGCCGGCGTTTTCGACTATGACGGCCTGATCGTTGCAACAGGTTGCACCAGCAATTTTTTTGGCAATAAAAACATTGAAAAGTTTGCCTTCCCGATGAAGAGTACGCCGGAGGCAATCACCTTACGGAACCGCCTGTTATTAAATTTTGAGAAAGCACTGGCGGCTTCTCCTTACGAGCTGGAAGCCATTATGAATATTGTAGTAGCAGGCGGAGGCCCCACGGGTGTGGAGCTGGCGGGCTCTTTATCGGAAATGAAGCGCAATGTATTGCCACGTGATTACCCCGATATGGACTTTACAAAGATCACTATTTACCTGATCGAAGGAAGCCCCAATACCCTGAATGTGATGAGCGAACCCTCGAAGCGCAAGTCGCAGGAGTACCTGGAAAATATGGGGGTAAAGGTCTGGACCAACACCCTTATTAAAGATTATGATGGCAGCGTAGTGACGATGGCCGACGGGCGCACTATTCATACCCATAATCTTATCTGGGCCGCCGGGGTAACGGGTAATGTACCGCCCGGCATTCCTAAAGAAACATTGGTTCGGGGCAACCGTATTAAGGTGAATGAGTTTAACCAGGTAGATGGTCTGACCAATGTTTTTGCCATCGGGGATATTGCGTATATGGAGCAACAGGACTGGCCAACCGGTCATCCTCAACTGGCCAATGTAGCTAATCACCAGGCGATGCACCTCGCTAAAAATCTGAAACGCCTGCAGCGAAACGAAGCGATGCAGCCATTCAAATATAAAAACCCGGGCACCATGGCTACTATCGGCAAGCGGAAAGCAGTGGTGGACCTGCCCTTCATCAAGTTTCAGGGATTGCTGGCCTGGCTTACCTGGATGTTCCTGCACCTGATGCTGATTGTTAGTGTAAAAAATCGCCTGATCATTTTTATTAACTGGGCCATCAGCTATTTCACCAACGACACTACGTTACGCCTTATTCTTTTACCCACGAAAAAACAGATTGAACTGGCCGAAGAGAAAGCCGCTGAAACTCCGGAGACCGGTGTGTAGTATGCCCTGCCTGGATTATATTTAGGGATGCAAAGATTATTCTTCCTGCTCGTTTTATTATGGATCGGCACCACTACCGTGCAAGCCCAGCAAGTGCGCCAGCTTGTGGGCAAACAATACAGTCAGCTACATGAGCTAAAAGGCTTTGAGCATTTTATACCGGTTAAAGGTTATCCTGTATTTGATGAAATGGTATGCTATCGCTACCAGGACACGACGACTTTTGCGGAGCTGATGGTGTTCCAGAAAGATATTATAGTAGACGGGCAAACCTTGCATAAAGTGGCCGATGTACTCAAGCTGGACGGTACCGGGCGGCATAAGATAGTGGTTGTTGGTGCCAACCGTTTTGCGGCTTTCTCCCAGAGAAATATCATTATTGCAGTGGAGGATATTGATACCAGCGGCCAGTATAGGCAACCTCAAAAGTCGATACAGATCCATAGCGCTTATACGCTTCAGCACAAGGGTTATGTGTTTGAAAAAGTACCGACCCGCAAGCTTTATCGCATTGGCGACGACTTTTATAAAGACCGGTGACCAAACTCCGGTAGTGATTGATTTCCGCTGGCATTTACCGACCCGGCAGCGTATTTTATAAGGCCGATACTGCTTTATGAGGGTCTGCTACATTACCTTTGCGCCATGGCAAAATTTTTTCTGCGGAAAAAGATCAGCGACCGTGTTATCAGCGGACACCCCTGGATTTTCGGAAATGAACTTGGAGATCATGAAGGCGATTATGAAC